TGGACCGACCGGACGGTGCACCGAAGGTGAACAGACAACCAATGGGTACATCTGATAATGACCTGCTGGACGCAGAAGTGCCATTCGCTGAGTTAGCTGTCATGCCGCCCAAGATCAACGTCGAATCTCTACCACTCCCCCGCGAAAAGGAAACGCTTGACGAAAGAAAAGGAAGAGGCAAGGTAGCATACCAGATGTCAACCCCCGACAAGATAACGACTGCATTTGCAAGGGTTGAAAACCACCTGGGTAAATCTTATAATGACCAGCCAAACGCAGAAATGACATCCGCTAATTTTGCTGCCAAGACGCCCATCATCACCGTCGAGCCTCTACCGCTCCCGCGCGATAAGGAAACGCTTGACGTGAGAAGGGGTAGAGGTAAGGTAGGAAACCAGATTTCAGCCCGCGAGAAGAGAAGGACTGCATTTGCGAGGAGTGAAAGCCACAGGGGTAAATCTGATTATGACCTACCAGACGCAGAAATGCTATCCTCAGATTTCGCTGTCCAGACGCCCAACATCACAGTCGATCCTCTACTGCTCCCGCGCGAAAAGGTAACGCTTGACGGCGGAAAGGGTGGAGGGAAGGCAGGTTACGAGATTTCAGCCCCGGAGAATATAACATCTGCATTTGCGAGGAGTGAAATCCACATGGGTAAATCTGATAATGACATGCCAAACACAGAAATGCCATCCAATAATTTCGCTGCTAAGCTGCCCATCATCACCGTCGACCCTCTACTGCTCCCGCGCGAAGACGTAACGCTTGACGGCGGAAGAGGGGGAGGAAAGGTAGGTTACCTGAATTCAGCCCCGCAGAGTATAACGACTGCACATGCGGGGAGTGAAATCCACATAAATAAATCAGATTATGACCTGCCAACAACAGAAATGACCTCCGGTAATTTCGCTGCCAAAACGCCAAAGCTTACCATCCATCCTCTACTGCTCCCACACGAAGAGATAACGCTTGACGGCGGAAAGGGTGAAGGAAAGGTAGGCTATC